TGGTAATTGTCACTTGAAGGAAGAAGAGGGGCTGTGGTGCACAGGCATATCAGCTGTACTTCCTCGAGCTGTCTAAGAATGACTGACCACGGCACTCACCTACAGCAGGTAGAGCAGCCCATTAGTCCCATTTGTGTGGCTAGCTCTCGTGCTAATGCCTCCTAACAAAATTGCTTGAGAACAACAACTACCATGCTACATCTCATTATTGCAAATGTATCTAAATATAACCCAGAGCTCATTTTCTTAGGAACAAGTACTGGCAGGTCCTAAACTGGAGATGGGAATGTTTGATAGCTCTCAGGTGCAGTGCCAGCCCTTGGCTGTGGTTCATGTGTCTCCTTGCTTATGCCAAGAGGTCTTAATAGACAACTGCAAAAGCTGGACAGATCTGGGTTAATGAAGGGAAGTGACTTGCAGGGTTCAGATTGCAATCTTGTGCAGGTTTGTGATGTAGTGTGGCTTGCTGGGGTGCCCATGAGATGGGAAGGATTGAAGTCATTCAGGTGTAGTAGACATGACAGTGATGCTCTCCCCAAAAGTGTCTCTGGAGATCCTGATATCACTCTCCTTCTCTTTTAATGAATGGTGAAGTCTACCTCCCTCCTGTCTCATTGGGAAAGCCAAACTGCATGTCAGAGTCTATGTGGCGCCTTCTTCATGAAGTCTTTCTACAATATCCTATACCTAACAGGAATATTTCCTTTTCTTATTTGCTCAGCTGGAGGTGCAACTGCCATTCCTGCCTTTTATATAACCCTTCACCACATTGTTTCTTTGCCTGAGTACATCTGTCCATTCCTTCTAAACTGTCTTCTCTGGCTGTGGAACAAACTTTTTAAAATTGCTAAATGCACCTTAACTTTCCAAAATTTTGTTCCTGCATGTATTTCTTTCAGGTAGAGAAGAACATGTGTTCCAAGCAGTAATTCTGCATCACTAAATTTATTTTATGTCTTTGCTGCAAAGCAATTAAAAAAGAAAGATCAGAGCTTCTATTTGTGTCATGAAATTTCTGAAGTTACTTCAGCTTATTTTAAGATAGTAGACTGTAACTTTTGGAGATCAGAAGCTGCTACACATATTATTAGCTATCCCTATTGGGCATGGGGGGAGAGTAGCAACTTCTGGGAGAAAAGTCAAGCAGAAAACTGGGATGGTGACCATTTTAGCCACCTCAATTTCAGCCACCAATAAATGGGAATCAACACTCTGTGAAGCTACAATTGAGGGCTGAAGTATTTAGGTCCCCTCCAGTGAAGATTACCGAAGTAAACATTTATGAGTTCAAAATAACAAGAGTAGGCAACATGAGTTTCCATTTTGCTGACATGTCACTCATAGTCTACACTTTTCCTCTGTCTATGTGCTATGAAGCATCTCAGTAGCTGCCAAATGTCATCTCCTCCCAGTGTTGCTACTTTATTTCACTATGTAGTCAAGTCAGTCGAAAGTCTCATTCATTGATTTACAAACACATACAGGATATAGGCTTAAAAATACATATATATGTTTATTTTCCTTCAGTTTTGGTCATTTGTGAAGGTATATCTTCAATACTCACGTCCACTCCAATTTATTTCATTCCTGTATCTTTATTTATGTTACATACCTTTTACAAACAAGACCCTGAAAGTCCCAATTTGATTAGCCCTTCTCTCTCAATTATCTTCCTGTTGAAGCACTACAGAGCTCAGGTGCACTTTTCTTGCAATCTTTTTTCTGATTTTTTTTTTCTTCTAGGGTGCAGGTTACAATTTTTCCCTTCATTGCATTTATTCATAGTTTCATATTCAATGAAACACAATTTTACAGCAAACTAAAATTTTTTCATGTTACATACACATTTAGTATTTACGAAACAGCCATTGTAAATGAAACAATGACGTGGAAATAGGATTACACTTGCCTAAAACTAGCTATCATACAATCTGAAATTTTGGTTGCTAACATCTACTTAAATACTGTGTTTACATTATATATTATATCTGGTTATATCAAAGGAAATCAGAGGGGAGGGCTGAAGTGTAGTCATTGTGATTCTTAAATCCTACAAAATAGGATTCTTAAATGCCTATAAAAGGCAATGGATAATACACTTGTTTATAATCACGTACAGATTCATGAAAAATTGTTCCAGAGCTCTGTTCTGTTCAGGCATATTACATCATCTTCAACCAGGTATCATATTGACTGAATTTTTCCTGGTTCTTTAGGAACGACCTATGGCCTACCTCTCCCCTCGTTAAAACTCAGGTTATCACAAAGTGCTCTAGTTTTTGTCCTGAAAGCATTTCCTCATTTCAGTGATGGCTGTAAAATGCAGAAGGAAGAATTAGGTGGGTTTTATTCAGAGTGGGAAGAGGATTCGGAATTGTCTTTAGCTAAACCTTTGTGTAGACATACTGTCTGAGGTGTGTTAAAAAAACAAAACAAAACAGTAATATGGTTTTAAATTCTACTACTATTAGAGAAAATACATAACAAAATAATACTCTGTGGGCAAGACCATAACTACTAAACTGCTATACTAGCCCTTGCACATCTTAAATTACTAGAGAGACAAAGATAATTTCAGTAAATATCACCAGAACTTTAGGAGCTTGCTTTCTTTTACAAAGCTGCAGTTTTGTAACATCACATATCAAATGACCGTTTCCTTGAAAGTGACATGCGACATGAAAGGCAAATAGCTTGATTCACTTAATAATTGGTACAGAAATTCATATGGAAAACAGACAAAAGAAAAACACCCAACACAAGGTAGCAGGGTAAGTTTGCCTCCCTTCTACTGAGATTCCAGGAAGAGAAAATAAAACAACTGTTTGTTCATAAACCTCCAGATAGTTACAAATTGCTTATGGCTCTACAAAAAGTGCAATAGGAGGTTGTACGAGACACTATTTCACTAGACTTTAGCGTTTTAGGAGGTAAAACACATGGTCAAAGGAACCGGTTCTTAATCCATATTCAGAGCTGAAAGAGGAGTTTGTGTTACTTCCTCCTCTTCAAAATCAATTTAAACTGTCAAAATAGCTTTAAATCGGCAGATTTCAACTTTGACCCCAAGAAAACCCTCTAAAGAATCAGACTGAGTCGTTGCTGTAACATTTCTGTCAAAAGGAAATTTTTAATTTGCAAGGAAAAACAAAAGTTTCTCTCTGCAGAGGTCTCTCCAGCAGCAGCACACGGGATTTATCCCTTCTCCTTTAACTCAGCCCGCGTGTTTGCAGCTGGAAACTCTCCCGAACGCAAGTACCTGCTCTTCTCCTCCCTCACCGGGGAAATGGGGCGATTTCGTGGCAGAAATTCCGAGGAAAATACACTTTTGTTAGTCCAAAGAAACACAAATCGAGCACACCGAAGGGCTCCCCGGCCGTGCAGCGGGGCGGGCTCTGCAACGCACCAATCACCGCGCGGCTCCTCTCTAAAAATACCAGCATCTGACCCGCGCCAGCCCAATTGTGTTCGCCTGCTCCGCAGAGGACGCCGCCGCGATGTCCGAGACCGCTCCCGCCGCCGCCCCCGATGCGCCCGCGCCCGCCGCCAACGCCGCC